GTAGTAGTAGTAGTAGTAGTAGTAGTAGTAGTAGTAGTAGTAGTAGTTTTTGTGGCGGGTGCTACTCTTCAGACCCCCGGGGTGGGGGACCCGTCGAATTAAGATCCCTACTCTTTCGACGGGTCACACGAAGACGCTGAAAGAAACCACTTTCGAAGACACTTCCAAGCAGCGCTGTGCCTGACAACCGTTGGAGGAGGCTGGGTGTCGCCGTGGAGAGTGGACCGCCAATGGGTGGCCACTCCGTCAAACGAGGTGGCCCTACAGTAAAGGCTCTCACCCCAAGCTGGGTCATTGGGCTACGAACATTCAAGGTTTCAATACGCCCTCCTCCTCCCACTTCTTTACTAAGAGTTAAGACTCGCTGGGATTCGACAGGTCTCGTCACCAGACGGGACATAATTCCGGCGTCACTGGAGAGAAGAGCTCCCAGACGCCCCTTTGCTGCGCAGATGTTCTCCCTGGCACCAAAGCGCGACCCCTTTAGGGGGGCCCAGGGAGACTGCAACTTTGCTGGAGCTCCAGTCGAGACTTTGGAGCTGAAGACTTAGGTCCGTTCCATTCTATGAGTGTGTTTCAGATGCCTCAGGTCACTTCCGAAGTCGTATAATTAGTCAAGTGGTCGATGCGTCGTAGCCCATGGCTTGGAAGGAAGAAAGGAAGACCATTGCTCGTAGGATTTTCAATGATTAGTTTTCCTAGGTTTTCCTCATGTCCTCTCGGCCGCGTAGTTTGGAAGTGGAAGGGAAGCACACTTCCAGCAAAAGAGCTTGTGTCAGGTTTCTCCACTTGCAACCCTAGGGCTCCAGTCGTACCTTCGTTTCGTTTTCGGTGGGACTGGGGCGGGCAATGAACAGGACATTTTCTCGCATTGGTTCACCAGACTGGCATGATGCGTGGGATCAGGTGGAAAAGGTCAATCTCCGGAACATTCTCGAAGTAAATCAGCACTCAGGGGGTTCAAATCATCTATAGATCCACCTAGCAAAAGCAAAGACCCGATTTTTCATGTTGATGCCTTGGTTGGTTCAGTCAGTTATAGGCCAACTAGACTAAAAGCTGGCTAGTGGTCCTGCAGCAACTCCAATGCAGCTCGAAGAAACGGGCTTTCTCCAAATTCCAGGTGCTTGGTGCCTAGTCACTGCGGACTCTCGAACTGCTCTGCAAGCCTCGTGGCGAGCGCCAACCATTTTTTGGCCCAACCTCGGGCATGTTTCCGCCGCAAGAAACCCCGCCCGGGAGAAGTGAAGGATGCGGATTCGACCGAGAAAGTTCAGAAGGGTCTCTGCGGTTTGGCTTGGGGAAGTATATATATGCATGGCCATCTCCTTCAGAATCGATGTTCTTGAGCCTCCCGCGCAAGGGATGACGTGCGGCGCAGCCTTCTTTGAAAGGCGTTCGGCGGTTTCAACCAGCTTCGCTGCGCAAAACGTGCTTGGCTTCGGGCGCTGCGAGCGGGCTTCGGCGCATGACTCGGGTGCCGGTAGATCACTCTGAAGGCCAACCGAGGCCTTTAATCAGAGCTGCTTAGATGCGATTCTCTAGGACTCTAGGGCTCCAGTCGTACATTCTCAGAAGGATCCTTTTTAATCCCTCCTGGCACCCACCCACCCACCCACCCACCCACCCCAGTCCCAGTATCGAAGGTATGACTGGAGCATACTGGAGCCCAAACGGGAGTTTTGTGCCACCCAGATCAGCACGTCTGCATAGTACTGGCCGGCGCTCCAGGAGCGGTTGAGGAACATTCATAGCCTCAATAGTAAATCTTATGAGGTGCTGGTGGCTGATTTCCGGTTTTGCAATATTCATGGTATGGAGTCTACAGTCATCAGTGTCAATTCTTAAATATGCTCTGGCAGCTGTGCCATTTTTGGGCGGGGTTTTAGCTGAAAGGATTTGATCCGACTGTATTAGGGGCCTTTGATGTTTGTGTCGCGAGCTCGTGCGTATGCAGGCTTTGCTACTAAGCACAGTTTGCAGCGCACTTTCCGTGCAACCGTGTCTTTGGATATTCTAAGGTGAACGGGGAAATTCGAAGGACACAATCCCAGACCATTCACGCATGGAACAGTTACTTGCATGATGCATGTATATCATATAAGGGATAATAAGGGATAAAAGTAAGTAACCATTTCTTACATGGATGGCTTGGGAATATCTATCTGTCTATCTATCTATCTATCTACCTATCTAGCTATCTATCTATCTAGCTATCTATCTATCTATCTATAGAGTGAAGCGCCACAATAGTTTGAACAGCCAGTTTCATCGCGGCAACCTGTTGTTGTTTGAGCACCCAATGGCGGTCGACCTTGGAACGACACAGCGGCCAGTCGCGGTCGACTTCGGGGGGTGGATCAACTCATAATGCCTTACCATCGATGCCAAGTTCTGCCAAACTAACTCAACTAGGCCCCCCTGGCTTGAAACCCTTCAACCCTGAAACTTAAGAGGCCATCAGGGTTTAAGAATTTGGTTGTTTGAGCGTCTTTGACTTCGTTGTTGAGTTTGGATCTGATGTTTGGCCAAGTCTCTCCAGCCGCAGTCCACCCCAACCCCCTCAACCCCCAACAACCTGACGCTTGCGCGTGGCGCTGCCGACTCGGTGGCCGTGACAAACGCCAAGGTCAGGGCAGAGAGCTGGCTATAAGCAGTATCATCAGATTCGAGAAGCCGTGCAGGCCTCACAAAACAGCGGGGGGGGGCATGAACCTACCCAGGAAGTACATGGATCATTTGCTTTTTTTTGGGGGGGGGAATTGTAAACCATTTTCAAGGGAAACCGGCTCGGGAATCAGCCAAAGACAACTCTCAGTCACTTGATGGTGACAACGTGTGCGTGATCTGTTTTTCCGGTCGGCGGCCATCGACCGGGCCTTTTGGGGGGACGCCCTGAAATTCCCTGCTCCGTGGAGTTTTGAATAGTTTGGGCTACTCTGAAGATGTTTGATCATCCTCAAGAACCCGTATGGGCCCGACACCTTGGCAGGGGTAGACCAACCACTACCAAAGCCCTAGGAGTGTGGCGGTTTTCCGGGCCCGGAAAACCCTAGGAAAGGCTCCTGCAGAACTGAAGCATGCTGAAGTGCAAGGCTTATGATGACAAATACCACATATCGTACATATAGAAGCCCGCGGCCTCGTGGCCTCGCATGGTTTGGCCGGGGTTGGTGCTTGGGCTGGGGCTTTGGTTTGTCCTATGTGCCGCACTGAGAGTTCAGGGCGGCAGGCAGTTGGGGACCAATCCTCGCCTTGCAGTTCTTGCCGGACTCAAAGTAAGATTGGTTGAGAGTTGCTTCAGGCCACCGTGATTCCTCGACCAAAGGTAGGCCCAAGGATAGCGGGATGAAGTTGAGTGGCTCGAGCCAGGTTTAGATAGGATTTGTGGGCCTGGGATCCTACCCCTGCTGTGCTTCTGGATGAAGTAGAACAGCTGAGCTGCACCAAAATGGATCAGTGACGGGTCACCCTACGTGTATTGTGCTTGTTGGTTGGCACATCTCATTTGTCCCAGGGTTTGTGCGACATATTTGATCCCATTTGCGCCAGAACGGAGAGCGAGGTCTTTGGCAAGGGCCTCAGAACGATGCACGGGGGGCTGGGAGGTATGGTTCTTGGGCACTGCAAGCGAGCCATAAAGTAGATAGAAACACTTAAAACCCAAGAAGGCACCTTTAGATTTTGGGGTCACTCTTTAGGTCATTTCTGAGACGCACTTTTCCACTCAACACATGTTTATCATGACCAGAGGCCAAGTGGAGTGACTGAATGAACTTTAAAAGGTTCACATATGTTCACATGACCCATCGTAAAGCAGCTTAGGAGGCTAGGAATTCTTGGCGCTGGGGGTTGTTGCTATGTGTTGCGAAGTGTGCCCTTCGGTTCCAACGTGTACCCTTCTGACGGACTCCTCGGTCAACCTTTGCCGGTTACGGACGCCTGATCCGGCGTCCAAACGCACAGCCTCGCGCGTTTTCTCCAGGTGTAAGACCTTTACCAACAAGAACGATGCCCGGTGGACGCAAATCAGCCACGTGGTCATACGTTGTCTAAGAGTTGGGTTTTGTTCGGGTCGAAATGGGTTCGGATCTTTGATTTCCAGGGAACAGGGGCGTGAGGTCGATTGGCGCAGGTGATGAGTCGCAGTCGCGTGAAGAAGCTCCGAGAGATCTGCCAAAAGGCTTCCAAAAGTGGTTGACTAAAGGTGAGGCTTTGTGAGTGACATTTTTGGGGGGGTCTATGCTCCGCTTCACATCCGACGCCAATCCCCACTGGGTAGTGAAGGCCGGCTTTCAGAAATCACAGTGAAGGCCCTGGGCCCAGTTGGAAAAGATCATGATCAAGGCCCTTCCATTGCCTCGTTTTGAGGATCAGATGCTTCATGTATCCCTAGGGCTCCAGCTCGTGCCTCCCCAGAAGTATGCCTGGACCCGAACATGGCACCCACCCCAGTCCCACCTTCTCAGGTTCGGTACGGCTGGTACGCCCTAGGAGTATGTTAATGGATGTTCCATTTGGTTCAATCGCCCATACTCGAAGGAAACCATGGTGTTAGTCCAGGTCCCTGCGCGAGCGAGTCTATCTCCCTGTAGAACCATCCTGGAGTAGGCAGAACATGAAGTTTCGTTGAAGCTCAGGCACTTGAGGTTCCCGACACTTCGCTTCGTCGCGCGTGGTCCGAAAAGGACTGGTGCACGACGCTCCACATGCACACCCTGGACATGAACTCCTTCCCCCCGCGGCACTTCCCCTGGTCTAAATGACCACTTGGAAAGATGTGAACCGAGAGTCGACCACATGCCGACAGTAGTGACAGTTGAAACAAAATAGACCCAACCCATAAGGAGTGAAGAGGAGTGAAGAGGTTTTTGTATGTTTTTGTTGTTTTTTTTCCAGATGGTTGATGTACCTCACGAGTCTACCCACCGGACCGGTCCTCCACGCCTCCGCCCGAGGCGTGGATGGCAAGACGGCCTTCTGGGGGAAGGGCCACTGGAGCCACGGGCTGAGCCAAGCGCGGCGAGCGGAGCCAGCTGAGCTCAGAGCTCCGGATCGATCGCTAATGCATCCACATCCACATCCGGCATCGCGTGTGAAAAACCTAGGCAAGTGCCGGAAAAAGGCTTTTCTGGGTGGCAGATGTTCCAGCTCCCGGACAGGTCGTGTTATGGGTAGGTACGATGCTTTGCCTCCGGACGTGACCCTGAGTGACGTGACCAGCCGAAGCCGTCGGCTTGGTGCCTCGAGGAGTGGAGTTGGATGAGATCGCCCAGAAGCCCGAACGCTTGGTTTGGAGGCAGGAGGGGGAGAAGGACTGGGGGGGCTGGTCTTGATCCTCATCGAGGGTGGAGGCATGCGTGGTCTTGGGCCTGCGACCCGTCTCATCTGCCAAGCCCAAGCCGTCCAGGCGTGAGGGTGTTCCATCCATTGGAGAAAAGAAAGAACACCTTTTGTACCCAACGATCTGTGTCGTTGGGCTACTTTGCTTGTGAGGTTTCACAGCCAGGGTGACGGTCACTGGAGTCCGACCTGACATGGGCGACCTGACCCCGACTTAGGTGACCTCGTCCCATGGTCCGAAAGCGTCCGTGCTTCACCAGCGACAGCGGAAGCCAGGTCTGCACAGAATCTCCAATGGATTTGGAGCACGGAAGCCAAGGCATCGCGTGTGAAAAATAACCAAGTGTAAACTGAACATGAACCATTTTGGTTCGAGCCGGAGGTGTTTTGGGTTTCGATTTGGGATGATTCTATCAACCGGATTCTTCAGCGGAACATCAGAAAAAGGAGCTCAGCGGAATGGCAATGGGGCCTGTCCGGAGTGTTAGTATCGTGATAGTTCCATGTTCGTTGACAACTCCTCAAATGAGTTGGACAGTTCAGCTTTTCGGAGTTGGATCATCAAAGAAGTCGCCCTGCAGATTGTCCCACAGAAGGTCGAAGCCCTCATCTAACGCCCGCCCGTCCGTGTGCATCCTGATCGGCTTTGCATGGCTTAACTCTACCCTCACAAAACGGTGTGTGATTTCTTCCCCTGCCCTCCAACCCCAAACCAAAGACCTTCCCAAGAGCTAGGGAGACCTCCCCAAAAACCCTAGCTTATTGAATGAAAAATAGGCCAAAACTGGTTCAGGTATGCCAGGAGCCCCCGGTAGCGTCCTTGTGCCTAGTAGTAAGGCCAGGAGCCCCTAGCAGCTTCTTGTTCCTAGTAGCGTCCTTGCTCCTAGTAGCGATGCCCTTTACAGCATCTTTGTCTCTTTTGGCCAGGACCTTCTCAGCTTACGTAGCCTGTTCGACCGAGTAAATCGAGTGAGTCGGGCTGATCTCGGACACTGTTCCACAGAACCAGCAGAATCCGAAAATACGGCTCCTATGAAGACTACGTCCTTGTTAAAAAGGGGGTTTTGAAGTTTCGCAGACTTTCGGAACTACATTCTCATTCTGGAGCAGGACTCGAAGTGTGAATGGCAAGGGGATCGTTCCAAGTAAAACCCCTTGGCCGTGTTCTTAGGACAGAAATTCACAAGCCAGCTAGGCAAGGGAAAACTATATAGGTCCTTTGTGGAAGTGGCTCTGATGGTGACGTGGTCTCTAAAATGGTCTCTAATTCATCGAAAAAACAGGTGGTTCAATTGGACCTTTCTCAACACACCAATGTCGTATCGCCTGGATTCTGAGGTTGGGAAGGCTAGTGAACGGCCGTGACCGCCGTGGACGTCCACTGACGTCCACGCTTCGCGGGTGAGCCTTCGCCGGTGAGCAAGACGACCTGGATGAGGGAAGGACCTCGTAGGGGTGAAACCATATGCAATAACACATAATAACACCATGAACCCCTTATTTCCTTGGGGGTAGGCATACGGGAGAAGGTGTGCCCTGCGCGTTGTTTCTTCGCAAATGAAATCAACTTAAAGTGGTCGGGGTCGCGCATTCGTTCTCCGTGGAGAGACCCAAAGCCATACTCTAAAGATTCTTAAGCTCGACTTATACGCCAAGCGTCGAGGAAAATTGCTGATTGGTGTCGCCGATCCATTTCCACACTACAGCCACTACAGCTATAGGTTGCAATTGTCAATCGTTGTCAAGTGCACGTAAAATCTTGCTTGGCTCCCCTAAGCCTTACATTTTGGCTGTTGGTTTGTGTTGCTGTTACATCTTATTGGGATTCTCAACGAAGGGCGTAATAATAACATCTAATAACTAATACCCATCCAGTGAATGTCCTTTCACCAATCCTTTCACTACCTCCTGGAAAGCCATTGCCAATATGGGGAGTATTTGGATTCCTGTGGCACAAGTCAGGTGTACTGACAGGTGTCGATGTCGGTCTGGGGATGCACAGATGGGTACACTGGTAGACTTATGAAATCTGTGTGTGGTCATTCGTTAAGAGTCGCCAAAAGGGGTAGAGATTGGGACCATCCCTCAGAATTAGCTTGCAGCACTTCAGGCAAGTGGTGATGGAGTTCTAGAAGTTATATAGTGGATTATAGTGGATTCAAAAGATGAAGCTATCGTTTGCTGGCCCTGGCTGAAGTCCAACTAAGGCAACATGCACAAATTATAACGTTTGCCAACATGAACGTGAATCATTATATGTTCCATGCACGACGTTGTGCGACCATTCATGTTGGCAAAGTCTTGATGGCCCCGTTTTGAAGCTTGTTGTACTCTCTCGGGGGTGAAGACAGTGTCAGGCCCAACCTAGTGTAGGTATGTGCCGTGGTGTTCTGTGCATGAAGAATCACCCAGTATGGCCATGCCTATACATGCCGTGTGCCCTGGGGGGTAACGTTTTTCTGCCGGCCAAGTAGTACGATCAGCAGTTTCGATACCACAACAGAGGCTGTTCCAGCCCGAGGTCGCCTTGAACGCAAAGACTGGCGCATATAGCTCGACAAGCTGCGTCCCAGTCACAAATAGCTTGACTGAAAATGAGTGCGAGCCTGCGATGGAGAGCATGCCTTGATCATGTGACAGGGAAACGAGCTGGTTTGGGGTTCAGCGAACCAGCTGTGAAGAACATCTCTGAAGGATTCCTATTCTCTCTTTTTTCTCTCTCTTTCTCTAGTAAGCAATTTGCTAATTGCTTGGCAATTTTTATTTCCGCTGAACTGCCACGACTCATTCCACACCTTTTGCGAGCAAGACACCACACCACATTTAGCCTGGTGAACTGCGGATCAGGGGATTTTTTGTTATAATCTTCCCTATGGCACTACGGTTAAATCCCCTACTTCTGATGAAGACGCGTTTATTTTTCCTGGTGCCGCATGGAGCCGCACATCCAAGCTAAGCTAGTCCTGGTTTTGCCGGGGCAGTGTTTCGGCCCAAGCTACGTCCCGATTTTTCACCACGAGCTGTTGTTCATGGTTGTTTTGGTCCGAGGTCACCTGGTTAATGGCAGGCATGAATTGACCCACAAGTTCACTTAAACGAGGACTCGCGAGACTCCGGGGCTCACTTCCATTGTTTCAATGGCCCACCGTTGCTTCAATGGTTTGAACCCTGAACAACCAATGGTATATGAGGATTTTACACCAAAACCAAGTCCTTCCCATCTTCGAAAATCGAAGGGGCTCCCAGCATACACCAAAGCCTAAGCCAATGCCCGGGGCGAGTTCCCGCCGGGCTCCTTGCTAAGCAGCTCTACTCAACACGGAGCCGGGCGGTGGGCAATGGCGCTCGGAACCTGCAAGGGCTTGTTTGCAGGCATGGTGGTGGAACTGTCCAACCGCCTGGGCAATAAATACAAGTAATCAGATTTGTACCCGGCCTGATCCACCTGTGCCAGTATATGATCAATGGTGCCCATGTAGTGGGTGTGTGCCCCCCAACAATCACCAAAATATGTTTGATATTCAGCACCAGCCATGCAGGCAGTGGCTCAAAAAACAGGGATTTATTTGCTGAGATCCTGTCTCCACACCACCTTCCATCCCAATCCGCAGCTCTCACTGTTTACTTGTCCAACAGTGTTGAAATCCATCGCCTTTCGTTTTTGCCTTTGAGCCTGGGAATTGTGGCCACGTTTTCCTGAAACAACATGTACATGACCACAAAACTACCCACAGATACGGCATGCACCAAAAAAGTGGTCAACACGGCTTGAGGCCATAGTGATCAAAAAAACATGATCACACGGGTTTCCAGGCATATGTAATATATTGTATCTACACCTGATACCTGAAGGACCTCTAGTTTGGACCACCCATGGGTTACATATACCGATATATGTACATACATATATATATATACACCAGTCACAAAGAGGTGCTTGTTAGGTCACATCCACTCAACACCAGGGACTCAACACCATCCCGTCGAAGGTGACTCCTGGTGTATGCCCATTTTTCAGACGAAGACGGAGGGGTCAAGTCCCTCCGGACCTGAACCTCCGGTTTCACCGATTCAGATCAGACAGAGAGTGGTCAGACAGATGCTCTAGATTCTCGAGTCGAGGCTCATGAAAACCAAGGCTCAAAGTGACGGAGAGAGTGGTTAAACTGCACCCCTTCTGCGTCACGATGTGCCAGTGAAATTTCTTTGCAGCCAGCCAGACGCCATGCGTCAACTGGCCAAAACCTGGTGAAAAGATCTCCAGTGCGGAGCCATCGTCCAGTCACTTGTCACAGGTGGCAGAGTTCAGGATCCTGATAGGCGCATGAAGGAGGCACGAGGAGGAAGGGTCCTTTCGCGGGTTTTTGCTGGATAGTCAGCAGAGGTAGAGATTTTCTCTGATTATGGGGGATATCAACCACGAATGTTTTACATCCACGCCTGACAGAAACATTGGTTATTTGGCTTCATCCCGCTTCCTGTGCACTGATATGACCTTATCTATTTGTATATATATTTATATATATATATTTATAGTTTAGATATACAGATTTACTTGGACCGTGAAAAGATGTTTTTTTATTTGTCCTTCTCTCTCTCTCTCGGCACCAAACGGATGCAGAAGTGACAAAAGACAACCCAGAAGTTACAATAATCAACATCGACATGTTTTTCTTGTGTTGCATAATTATATATAATAGTATATACCAGGGGCCCCACAAACCATCAAGAACCGGGTTTTCCCTTGCGAAAAGCATGGTTTTTGTATCTATGAAAACCTGTGTTTTTAGCATGGTTTTGAGGACCCCTTGTGTACACATATGTGTGTGCGTGTTTGCAGCGTCAAACCGTTCCGTTGTTTTTTTCCACCATTTTTGCCCTCGCTGAGATGTCAGCTGATCGAATCTGGAGGGAGGGCATGCACCCTTCAACCTCGCAAAAGGAAGCTTTACAATGGACACCCATTGTGTCGGGTGGCTGCAAAGGTTCCAAAGATTTGGGATGCCGAAGGTTTTAAGGCTCTACTGTACCTGACGGAGGGGTTTAGTTTGTGGTTTGGGGTGCTTTTGTGTTGAGATGTTTTTGCAAGTGTTGCAAGAATGGCCACCCATGGAAAGCAAACAAGAACTCGTGCCAGGTGTTCCTCCAGACAGCAACACTATGATTCTATGATGCATTTGGTGCAGTCTCTTCAGGGTTCTCGCCACACATTTGGAAGACCAGTGGTTTTGTGTTTTTCTCCACCAACCGAAGGAGTGAGTTGTATACGGCTTCCCGGGCACCATCTGGCGGCCTTGGGCTCCACCCGCTTCGCAGACGATTGGGCTCCACCCGCACGACCCGGTCACCGCGCGTCGTCAACCGGTGCGTCGTCGGTGCCGCGGCTGCCCGTGCTGATGCCGCCGCCCGTGGGGCAAGAGGAGTCGCGAAAGGCTGAGGCGGAGCTCTCCAAGAGACTCCTCAGCAAGAGAACGAGTTGTTATTTTCCTCCTAAATGTAAGAGCATAGATGTTCCGAAGACCAACAAAAAAGGGGGTTGGAAGAGGTGAAGACCATGGACCTCTTTAGGTTTCACCATGGACCTCTTCCATGGTGTAATGTGAAGATTGCAACTATAGAACCTCCCCCCTAGTAGTTTTTAGGAGGGATTCCTTTTTAAAACATGTTTTAAATCACGTCTGATCCGCAATGGCCCCTCTAAGCTATAAATGGGAAAGAGTTAAAATTGGCCAGCGGTCCACTATTGTACTGAAATTGTTGAGTGGTTTAATTATTGTAATGTTCACATTATTGGTTTAACATGTATTTGTAGCTGTTGACAGCTGCAGCTGCAGCAATAATCCCAAAGACTCAAGGATCATCAAATAGATAGACCACACTAGAGAAATACATCATTTAGAAGTATGACTAGGATGTTTACTTGGCTCAGGAGGTCTCTCGTTTACTTTTGGATGGTCAAGATCGCTGCTGTCTCTCTCTGGTCGTGCTGCCTTGCGCCTGCCTGTCCAGGATCCGGAAGCTACCGGAGAACAAGAGGCGTGACCGGAGCGAAGCGGACCTTCGTTCAGCCGAGCGAATCGGGTGGAACGGCGTATAACAGCGAGTTGGGAACTGTTTGGAGTGATGCAATCTCTTAGTTGTCATCTAGATCTCGGGGGAACTATGTAAAACTTTTGAGTCATCTAATTCCAGCCGCGGAGTGGGCAAAAGACTCAGGAAATGCCACGTGTTTTGCGGCGTCGTTGGAGTTTTGCGTTGATTTGTTCTTCAACGGTTGTGCCCCTGGTGGCACAGATCACAGGGCTTCTTGCCGATGAGGCAGGTCTCCTTCTGCAGCCAAATGTAGCCAACAGCCCCCAGAAGCCACCACAGCCTGATCTCACGACACCAAAAGAAGCAGGTGTGCAAACTGCCAAGCGCATGGGCAGCCACTCCTATCAGCTGTGGTCATGCCATTCAAGAGCCTTGGATTCTGATTCGAGCCGTTCGCACCAATCATGCGAATCAAAGAGAGCGGTTTCACCACCAATTCGAAGATCGCTGACCGAGTTTGCAGAGAATCCTTGGGGAATTTCGCCCATGATGCTTTTGCAGTGGAGTCATTGTCCTTGTGACGTGTCCTGTAACTATTCATGTACTTATACTTATATGCATACATTGTTATGTATATAGTCCATATATTCATCGTGATATGTCTGCAATATTAAAGAAAGGGACGCTGTGTGCATGTTCTACATAATCAGGACTGTCAATAAAGATGGCAACCTTCATTTTCACACTTAGCAACTGAGAGGCTTCATTTTAGTGGAACCATGAGTATAGTCGAAAGGTGTTTAGTCAAAAGCTCCTTGTAGAGGCGACTGTAACTGGACCACGATGCCGCTCATGTTTTCCAGGATCTTCGTTTGCAGCAACTGCAAGTCTGCCCACCAAGCCTTCTCACATCGATGTAAAAGTGCCCTGGAATGACGAAGACGAAGGACCTGACAACGATGGACAAAACACCCCCACATTGATCGTTTTTATGAAAACCATGATTGGAGAGAGAGAGAGAGAGAGAGTGAGAAAGTGCATCATGGCGCGAAAACAGAAATCGGCTTGATGGCCAAAATATAAAACTGTGCGTCTGGGCCCAATCGCGTTGAGGATTTGGGGAAAGTGTTCTGAAAACAGAGATCGACTCAATAAAGAACATGTGCAGTAATCTGTTCATGGGTTCTTGGAGGCAGAAGCAAAAGACATTTGGAAGAACATTCTGAGGTCCGTGAGCCTCGCAATTTTGATTTGGTTGTTGTTGCATTTTTTTTTGTGTGTGTGTCGTTCTTCATATTTTAGTGTTCATTGTTTTTCTGTTATATGATTACCCAGCAAGTCCAAAGGACGGGTTAAACTGGTGCGTTAGCATAAAGGACGCATTTCACCTCCCAACTTCCAAGACCTAATTTTCACAGGTTTTTCACGGCCTTTCACCCTGTTTTCACGGGCTTTTCACGGGTTTTTTCACGTCCTTTTCACGGGTTTTTCACGGCCTTTTTAAGCTTCCAGCCCCAGTTTTGCTAAAGCACCGGTTAAACTGGTGCGTTACTAAAGTACTGGTTAAACTGGTGCGTTGACCCACTGGGTTAGTTTATTCAACTTTTGGAAGAGGGTATCAGCAACATTCAACAACCACCCATTGAGAACCCGGGTATCCGCCGCCCTGTCCAAGAAGTTGGTTGGGGAATCATGTGGGGTCGCATCGCAAACCTTCTTCAGTACACCCCCCACAGAACATCCGAGTGTCAGTGTAAGGTCTTCTTATGGATTTGAGATCGGACTGGACTGAAGTTCGAAACCCGTTGCCTTCAGTTTCCGCTCACCGCCTTCCAAGAGTGTCCGCTTTTTAGGCTTGCCAAGCCTTGGACCCCTCAAAAGGACACACACCTGCGACCTTGCGGTCCAGGTACTCAGATGAGTTTGTGGTCCATGTCAGAGGTGCAAAGCCTTGAGGATGCGCATGGCGGTGGCAACCGCGTTTGCCAAGAAACCCACTTGGCCCACGTCAGACCAGAGGAACGACCCAAGGAGACGGGAGAAAAGGGCGAACACGACCGAACACGACCCAGGTCCAGTCCACATCAGCACCGACTTGCGGTTAACCACCAGACTCGGTGGCAGACAATTCAATAGGGATCCTACCTTCTCAGAAGGCACCTGATGGTGAAAAAGAGGAGCGTTCCGGTGTCATCGTCCTGGCCGTCTTGTGAGTACATGCTTGACAAGCAGCATCGGCCGGTACCTGGCCGACAGGTCGGCTCGCCGTGTTCTCGGATTCGGCCGCCCGCAGGAGGGCGACCACTTAGATGTCTTCAAGGACAGTCCAAGCACGCCAAACGCGGGTCGGTCGTGAGCCGCGGTGGGACTGGTGGAGGTCGACCCGGCCCGACGCGACGACGGATCCGACGGGACGACGCGGACGTCGGACGGACGAGAAACGGCCGTTTCTCGGGTGGTGCCAGGGAGGTCAAGGGGTTTGGCATATCTTCCAGTCCCAGACAGGTCGTGTATGGGATTTGGGTCGCTTTCCCTGGCATCTCTCCGACCACGGATCAGGAAGAACCATTCTTCGGCCGAGGTCCTTCGGATCGGTCCGAGGTCGGGCGAAGTGGTTTCGACACTTGGAGCTGCCATCCATGCCATCCATGCCCACAGTCAGAGACCTGGCAGAGTCGCCAGAAGCATGACATGTTGATTAAGATCCCGTACATCAATGATTTGGAATCCATGTTGTGCGGGACTCTAACTGGCATGTTTGTATGATGCAGCGGACCCGACCCTTAATCATTTGCCAAGTAGCATATACACCTAAGCTGGGAGGCAAACGGGACGAAACGCATGATGTTCTAAGTGGAGAAGATGCTCCATTTCGCCAACAGCCAACCCCCTTAGTCATCTCTGTGGCTTCAAACCGTCTTCCTTCAGGACTTTGTCCGGAAGGCATACTTGGAGAACCGCTGGTGCGGCAGCGCGCCGCGCCCGAGATCCGACCCTCGGCGGAGCCGATGGACCATCCGACGTTGGAGAAACACTAAGGGCAGAATAAGAGCAGAAGCCGGCAGAAGCACACCTTTTGAGTTGGAGCACCGCACACGCAAGAGAAGCATGGAGTTCTCTCCATCGTTCGTCCCCAAACACTGCTGAGCCCAGGAGCCCGACCCGCCCCGCGCGGCCCAGCGGCCCAGCGCCCCAACCTCCGCGCCGCGGGCGGCGCCAGCGGTGAGTGTGGATTTGCTGAGCGATTTCGAAGCGACTTCGGTGGCGCCGAGTTCTGGAGGTTTTGATCCCAGCGGCAGCGGTGCAGTGATCAACAGCGCCTTTAAGGAGCTGTCTTTGGAGGGATTTGGCCCACGGGGAGAGAAGACACAGGGAGGCAGGGATTTTTGGAAGAGTGTTTGAGGAATACCTTCTGAGTTTCATGCAAAATTGAATCCTTTGCAAAAGCATGCAAAAGTATTATTGTCTTTGCAGAAAATGTGCAAATATGTTACAAGCACGCAGAGTAGACAAAGGTCCACCCAAACCACATGACCATCGGAGGTGAATTGGCTGAAGATCGCATCATATCTCTTGCTCACCTGGTGAAGATCTCAAGTTTGGGGGATCTCCAGGAAACTACCAGCCTCAGATTCATTGACCTTGAACGCTTGGTATCGAGATCTAAGATCCTAGCAGGCTCTCAGATCTGTTTACAGCTCGCCTCTGAAAGGAGAGCTGTCCTTTGAGCATCCACCCAAAGAAAATGTATGAACATGTTGCCAATGACTCTTCGGAGGAGAGCGACTTTGGCTTCGACCCTTTCGCACAAATGCCAGCAGCTCCGCTCACTCCGCTCGCTCCGCTGGGCGCTTCATCTGCCGGATGCAACGTGGTGCCTTTAGATGAGCAAGCAAAAATCCTCGAGAGATCTCAAAGGGGTCCCAGGAGTTTTCATGATGTTTTCCTCTTTGGGAGATTGGGCGCATCAGGTGGGTGAGGTCGGGGCGCCCACCTCGGCCTCAAGGTCTACGTAGGTGATCCGTCTCTATTACCAAAAGGGCGCCCGCCTCACTGATTCTGATAAGTAGGTGGAGTCTCTTTATCCGATGGCGTTGACCCGCACAGTCGAACCTTTTTTTGGTTTCAGAGACGGTTCGATCGCATGGTGCGGAAACCCGCCCCACCGTTGGCTTACTATTTGGGAATACGGTGGTGTTCGAGCGGATGGGACATGGCGTTCGGATCCATCAAGGTTCCGCTGAGACACCTTCGGCACATGTCGCGTCGAAGTTGAACCCGGACACGACCGGACTGCCACCACATGGACCCGACTTCCATCACCCCTGGCCGTTTCTCGGCAGTCCGACCTGGCAGTCCCATAAAAGGTCTGAAAAAGTCACATGGGGGTGTAGTTGTAGTTGTTTGCCAGGTCCACATCTCGCCTTTTCAAGCCGATTGGAAACGGTCATCGATATCACTGAGGATCTGAGGCATAGATTCTTTAAACTTTACACTAGCTGGGCAAATGTTTTCTGGCAACTAGTAGTGGCTAGCAGATACAATATGTGAAAGCCAATTTGAAAACAGGTGGTGCAGTCTCAGTAGCTGAGCTTCTAACGCCGACCCCAGGCTGGTGGTTGTCCAGCTGGATGCTCTCCCAACCATCCGCCCAATGGCAACGCCATGTGCCCGTCCAGCGGCAGCGGATCGGTCCCCATGGGCGTTTTTGGGACCATGGGCACTTCGAGTGGTGCCACGGGCGGGCCAATGGGAGCTGGCATGGGTGCACCCAACCCCATGGGCACGGCTAGTGGCATGGGCGCGATGGGGGCAAGTCAGGGCGCCATGGGTCCCTGTGGTGGGATGTCCATGAACAATGGAAGCTTTGGCTGCGGCCTGTCTGGTGGATGCCAGGGCTGTGGCGGATGCCAGGGCTGCGGCTGCGGCGGATGCCAGGGCTGCTGCGGATGCCAGGGCTGTGGCGGATGCCAGGGCTGCGGCGGATGCCAG